GCCAAAACTCGCGATGCCGAACACTCCCTAAGGTGTTCGGTCTTTATGAGTGCGGGCGAAACAACACTCTTTATTAAAAAAAACCCTAGTGTCTAGGTACGTGCAAAAATTCTGACGTGGCCACATGCCAAGATGCCAGCCACCTCGTTGATTATATCAGAAGAAGCCAGGGGATGTGTAGCAACAAGAGACAGTAAAAAAGGTTTACGCAGAGTCTTAATCTAAAAAGAATCCTTTAGGACGGGTCCCTACTGCACGTCTGCGCCTGTGTCTCCGTTGTGCCGTATCCTGAACGGGCACCGCACGACGTTCATCCGTAAAAGAGAGGAACTGAGTTGAAAATGGGTCGTGCCGAACAAAAGTTTAAAATAAACAAAGTATAAAGTAAAATATATAAAATTGAGCTTTATTGTCTCTTATTGTATATGCATGGAGCCCCTAGTGGGGGTATATGGCCACTAAGACTGCATCAATGATGATTTTGTCCCAAACTCGTCTATCCGCGTTCATGGTCTTTAATGACCTATTTCGAAGTTTTTTGGCCGGTGAGGCCATTTTACTGTGGGGCTGTCAAAGCGGCCGCACAGTCCTCTGCTTGGGGAGGCGCACTTTAGTGCTTCCCCTTCAAAGAGATGATGCCTCGTGGACCGGGCATCTTAAGCGTGAGAGATGCATAATGCGGTATTGCGTTAAAGCGGGCGAAAGCTTCACGTCCCAGTAGCGCTTGATAGCGACTTGAGAACGGGACGATATGGAAGGTCAGCTTTTCGCGGCGAAAGTTATCGGCAGAGCCGAATATAACTTCGAGCCGGAGAAAACCCATGCAATGGGTGTTCGGACCAGGCGTTACCCCTTGAAAGGAGGTTTTGCTGCGGCGGATTCTTGCTGGGTTTATCCCCATGTGATGGACTATATCCTGATATATCAGGTTTAGTCCACTGCCGCCGTCCATAAGGACATTTGAAAATCGGAGTCCGCCAATTATTGGATCGAGTATCAAGGCGGTCCAGCCTGCATTCTTGATATTTCTAGAATAATCTAGCTGATCGAAGATGATTGGTTTTGACAACCAGTGGCGGGACCCTTTGGGGATAGGTCGTGTGGTGCGTACCTTTATGGGCGCCGCACGTTTTGTTATGTGAAGTAAGTTCACTGTTTTTACTGCTTGTGGGAAGTTCTTTTGTTTCCTGGTGCTCTGCTTTTGGGGTTCGTCCTCGTCTTTGCTTGGTGTGTCGAGCCCCTTGTGTTCGGCATTGAGTCTGCCGGATTGTTTGAAAACCCAAAAATCTCTGTGGGTATGGTTAGCAAGCTTCCTGGGAGTACTTTGTATCTGACATATCCTGTCCAGGATTTTATTTAAGTTGGATGGATCGTCCCTGTTATCCTGGAGGGGTGGTTTTGTCTGATTTTGTCGTGAACCTTTGAATCCGGCATTGACTGTCGTGCTCTTCGGACTTTTTTCCTTAGTCTGGCGACGGTCCTTGTTGCGTCGCGGTTTTCCGTTCCCATCCCTAGTTTCAGATGTACTTGGGTCACTGGGGCTGCACCTTGCCAACCAGCTGTCCTCTCCTGCACAAAAGCGGGTCATGAGGTTTGTTAGTGCGGCCATTGTTCTTGGTTTTTCTTGGCCGAGGTGTCTGGCGAGCCATTCGTCTCAGACGTTATGCCTGAAAGCTGCTAAGGCTTCGGCGTCCGGACAGTCGACTATCTGATTCTTTTTAGTGAGGAATCTATTCCAGAACTGCCGAGTTGATTCTCCGGGCTGTTGACTTATGTGACTAAGATCGTCTGCATCCGGAGGGCGGACATAGGTCCCTTGAAAATTTGCTCGGAAAGCATCCTCGAGCTCTTCCCAACTTCCAATTGTGTTTTCAGGAAGGCTTTTGAGCCAATGCCGGGCTGGCCCTTTAAGCTTAAGGGGTAAATATTTTATGGCGTGGAGATCATCTCCTCTAGCCATGTGTATGTGGAGGATATAATCCTCGATCCAGACTCCAGGGTCTGTTGTTCCATCATATGCCTCTATGTTTACGGGTTTGAATCCCTCTGGAAATTCATAGTCCAGGACCTCATCGGTGAAACATAGGGGGTGTGCGGCGCCCCTGTATTTGGGTGTGCCGGATTCTGATGATGGCTTTATTGCATTGCTTACGAGAGCTTGCTTTCTTGGCCCATAGATGGACCTAACTGGGCCATGATGCGAATCCTTAGGTGGGTCGCATGCCGATTTAAGTGCGGCGCCGCTTGCCGCTTTATGGGGTTGTCTATCCGACCGTGTGGCTTTCTTATTTTTTGAATGCGAGGGCTCTAGGGCCTCTTCGTCGAATTCAGGCAGTAGCTTTCTTTTCGGATAGCTTTTAGTGCGGCTACAGTCGCCGTATTTATCTGCGGTATTGATTACTTTGCTCCATCTAATCCGAAGTGCATCTTCCGCTGTTTTTAGCTTCTGCTTCTGCTTTTTCAGGCTGCGTGCAGTTGCAACGAGCCTCTCATGGAGATTCTTCTGCTCCATGGGTTTATCCGGCGTGAGGTCGTCCGGAATGCCGTTTTCGCCGGAGGAGGGATGTTTGGTTTCTCTATCCGTGTTGCCCTGTTCGGACGGTTGCTCTAAGGCCTGCTCGTCGTCTACCGGCTCGTCCTGCTCTATGGCTGGGTTTTTATCGAGGCGGGGCTTGGGTCGGCGTTTACGCCGATGCTTTGATTGCTTTTCGGGGGGTCGATCTCCCATTCCATCCCCTTTTTCCTCGTTGTCGCTTCCTTTAGGGGTATCCACCATGTACACATCATGAGATGAGGTGGCTGTCCAATGCCCTATGGGCGTTGGTTCATCGGTATCTCCTGCATCGTCATCCATGCTGTCGATGTCTCCGGAGTCGAAGTTGAGCACGTCGTTTAAATTGTCGACAGTGGCTACCAAGTGGGTGGTGGGTGGGCTTTGAATTTCTTCGTCGTCCGTATCCCATCCTCGCTGACCGTAGCTCGGCCAGGGCTCTCCTGATAAAGAGAGAGACTTGAGAGAATTCAGGATATCGCCAAAAGGCGAGTACTGAAAGATGTCTGCGGCGGTGAACTCCATTATTGGCGCCCAATCGGATTCGATCGGCAGGGGTGCGGGGGGTTCGGAGTCCGGAGAGGAGTCTGGATCCTCGGAGTCGTGAGTCACGCAGAGTGTGGGGCCGGCGTTCGGCTCGATTGCCTTTGAGATCGCAGCCCCCGAGGTGACGTGCAACCGCTCATCCTTGATTGACACAACTTGCTCCGAATTAAGGGCCAGAGCTGGTGCGTTTGCGGCCTCCGGGATACTGTTCGGTGAGAGAGCTAGATCATGCCCCGCGAGACAGTGCGGCGCGCTTGGTTGTGGCTCGAATCCGTCAAAGATCAAATCTTCGCGGATGTCTGCCATGTAATTTAGGCTTCCAAACCTGACTTGATGGCCAGGGGCGTAGCTTCCGATCTGCTTCAGGTGGCCAAGCGAATTGGCCCGCAGTGCGAAGCCGCCGAAGACGAAGATCTGTCCGGGGAGAAAAAGTCTCACCCTGGACCGCATCGTTGTTGATGATGAAAGGAGCCATCGGGCCTAAAGGCGACGACACAGAGGAACTCTCAATGAAAGCACCAATGTCGGTGTCAAAACCGGTGGATCTCGGGTAGGGAGTCCCGAACTGTGCGTCAAGGCCGGATGGTAACAGGAAACAAGGGACACGATATTTTTACCCAGGTTCGGGCCTTCTCGGTGGAGGTAATACCCTACTCCTGCTTGATTAATATTGATGATATGGGTAGTACAAGAGTAGATCTACCACGAGATCAAGGACGCTAAACCCTAGAAGCTAGCCTATGGTATGATCGTTGTATATGGAGTTGATGTCCTACGGACTACAACCCTCCGGTTTATATAGACACCGGATAGGGTTAGGGTTACACAGAGTCGGTTACAATGGTAGGAGATCTTGAATATCCGCATCGCCAAGCTTGCCTTCCATGCCAAGGAAAGTCCCATCCGGACACGGGACGGAGTCTTCAATCTTGTATCTTCATAGTCCTGGAGTCCGGCTGAAGGTATAGTCTGGCTACCCGAACACCCCCTAATCCAGGACTCCCTCAACATGGCCGTATATTCCGTGGTGTTCAGTGCACATGGCAAAGTGCGGATGACAAGTACAGAAGGAGGCGAAGTGTTATAGCTGTGGGACATGTCAGAAGACTATCCTGGAAAAAGGATGAGACAACTGCAAATTTGACTCGGGGTGACACAGGGCGACAGTGAAATTCCTTCAAGATTCAGACATGCGGTCAAGAAATAGCGGTGATGTTGAGTTCAGGTAACTCTTATATGTGGCATCCAATATGTGAGTTGTTCACTTTCGTGCAGACAGTGGTTGATGTGTGATGGCGTTGAGCGGATACTCTGAAAGTTGGAAGCACAAGGTAGAGTAATGAGGAATTTAATTTTGCTCGGGTGTTGACTGTGAAGAAGACGAGAAGGGACTACAGTTGCAGGTGGAGTCACATGGAGTCTGGGAGTAGCAGCGGTGCTCACGGTGTATCTTAAGTCCAATGTACATGGAGGTTCGGCGCATTGATGAATCCAAGGTGGTGGAGAATATTCGCCAAGGTGAAGTTTGTTAGAGTTGTGTCGAATATTATTGTATAAAGGTAGGTTACAGTTGGACTTGGTTTTGGACTGTGTGTAGACATGATAGGAGTTGTGTCCTAATAGGACATTTGTATCCTAGGCCTCTCATATATATCGGAGGTAGACACACGATGTAACCTATGCCAACATAATAGCACGGGCACGCGGGGGAGCCGGCGGCGTGTGCCGGCGCCCGGGCGGCCGGGGTGCGGTATTGTGACGGTGTCACGGGGAGGAGCGCCCGTAGTCAGGCCCCGGGGATGTAGCCATATAGGTGAATCTCGTTAATAAATCTCGGTGTCGTGCTTGTGTGATTGCTTGGTCCTCGGTAGATCGACGGTGCGCCTTGGATTTATTCTAACAGCTAAGAAGTGGGTTCGGCTCACTCGCATGTCCTGGACGCTTTTCTCCGGTAATACTATTGGATGGCCAGAGGAGAAGATGTTGTGGTCAAACAACATGGGCCAGTACAATTTTCTGATCTATGTGGGCTGCGAGGAAAAGCCAAGTACTCCGTCCATGTCGGAACGAGTGATGACCAGGATCAGGAAGATCACAAAAGCAGTTGGTGCTGGAGAGGACAAGTTGTTTTGGTTAAGCAAGTCATTAGATACGAAGTACGAGGAGGTGGATGCGGATATCACAGATAGTTTTCTGAAGGACATTGAAGTCATTCTCCAATCCCCTTTCGGAGGAGGACCGAGTAGGCTGTGGCAACATCTTAGTGCAGTCATGATCAATTTGCATATATCAACAATAATACACCTCAGTGAGGTTTCAAGTGTGGATGTGGAAATAGTTGCCTTGGTTGGTGTCTGCCGGAAACCATCCAATTATATGATGTATCTCCTTGCTACACACCCTGTTATGTTGCAGGTCACTGCAACCAGTGCCAAATCAGTACTACAAGGCTTTCGTAAGAAGTTTATGATGATGATGACTGGCAGCATCAGCAAGCCTGTGGTTCTACAAAATCTCAAAGAGTTGATATCGAAGGAGGATTCCAGGTTGTCTTTGCCCGAACCATGCAAAGAAACACTGGAGGAGATGAGAGATATGTGGGTGAGGATCATCATATATGCCGCTGGCAGGTCGCGGCCAGAGACGCATGCGACACAGCTGGCCAGAGGACGGGAATTCCTTACCTTCATCTGGCTGCTCTTGGCACACAAAAATCTTGGGTCTTCCACGTCCTTTTCAATCGAACTTATTAGCCCACCTCCAAATTTTGGGCCTTACAGTGATGTACGAAGTTATGCCTTTGATTTTCGCCAAAATTGACAGCATATAGATGCCATCATCTGAGGTAAATTTTAAAATTCATCTGAGGAACCTTTTAAAATTCATCTTCCAACATATAAATGCATATACAAACCCTTTCTCATATACTCATCTATCAACATATAAATAGCATATTATCCAATTAATTTAGCTTTTACCATCAACCACATATATTTGCTTATCTAATGTTATTTGTTTTGTCTATTGTTTCTTTCCTTAGATCGGTTCCTCATGGCACATAGAGAGAGCTCGGGGGTGACATGTTCCGCATGACCCAACTTCATATATTATCCTATGTTCACACTTCCCTGCAATGTTTCTACTACTAAGCTTGATGATTTTGCATGATCTTCATTCATGCCTTAGTTAATCATGGCTACAGTTGTTAATACGGCTACTTACTTAAAGTACATGTTGGATAATTAGGCAATTCATGGTTAATTCCATAATGTAAATCATGATTAAAGCAACCTAGCGTGTGTATCCAGCATGCTAGATTATTTAAACAACATGAACAGCAACATCACACATGCATCAATCATAAGTTCATAACTAAAAATAGGTCGGGTCATGTCGTACCTAGTGGTAGTTTGCAAATGTGGTAGTCGTAGCTGCTGCAGAGGCGAAGCTGTTGGCAAAGACCGACCAAAGCAGACATTTACAGAGACGGTGGTGCGCAGCATCACCTGACTTGGATCTCAAGAAAAACTCATTAAAGAAGACATAGAGAGAAATGCTTGATTGATAATATGTCTTACAATAGTTGTCGGATGTGAAACACGATTATAAGTATGATTAACAAGGAGATGAATTGTTGTCTCATTCACTCGCTCGATCGCCTTGTTCGCTCGATATTGGTTGACCGTTCGACAGATGGCCAGTTGACCAGTCAACTTTTGAAAAAATAAGGAAAAAAAATCTAGAATTCAAAAAATCTTCATGAAAATTGAAAGAACGTCAACAAACTTCAAACATGTTCATGAATTTTTAAAAAGGTTCATCAATTTTTAAAAATGATAATAAAATTAGAAAGAGTTCATCGATTTTAAAAAAGGAAGTTCATTAAACTTGAAAAAAATTGATCGAATTTGAAAAAAAAAGTTCACGGAATTTTAGAAGTTCATCTATTTTGAAAATATTTCATCAATTATGGGAAAATTTTCATTGATTTTGAAAAAAGTTCATTGACTTTGAAAAACAATCATCGGATTTGGCAAAAAGTTCATAGGTTTTGACACAAAGTTCATCCGTTTTGGAAAAAAAATTCATCAATTTTGAAAAAAGTTTATTGAAATTGAAAATGCTCGTCATATTTGAAAAAAAATCACCGGTTTTGAACAAAAGTTCATCGATTTTGAAAAAAGTTCATGAATTATATAATCAAACCATCGGCATGCGTGACAACTGGTGCGTCGTTTGGAGAGAACTAATAGTTTCCACGACTAACCATCAAGTCATTGTTTCTCTCGTCTCTCAGATCATCTAGTCGATCGAATCCAGTGGAAGAATATTTCAACCACTCTTTCATCATATGGCTTTCTCATCCTGAAATTTTACACACATAAGCCTCACATCCTTGTTTACTTGTACAATTTTTTAGATTTTTTTCGAAACCAAAGTTTTATAATTTTGAATTTTTACAAAAAACGGCCTCCATCCATAACGCCATTCTCGACCACATAGACTTAACCTTGGCCCCATTGATCGAGATCGTAAACTAATCTATCGTGGAACAGCTCATTAACGGTGCATGTGCCCCGGCCGGCCAGCCATAATATCTTATGACAAACACGAGGTTGCAACAGCTAGCTCATTAATGTGCATTGAACCAGTGTGATCTCTATCGGTGGGCTCTGACCCCTCTCCAAGTAAAAAACTGTGGTCTCATGTCAAGAAAAGAAATGCCATCTGGATCCGTTGTTGTCATCTACTCTATCCGTTCCTAAATAGTTGTCTTTCTAGAGATTTCAACAAATGACTACATACGAAGTAAAATGAGTGAATCTATACTCTAAAATATGTCTATATACATCTGTATGTGATAGTTCATTTGAAATTTCTAAAAAGGCAAATATTTAGGAACGGAGGCAGTAGATACGACTTCTGGTGAGGCAGATGGGAGCGTACATAATTGGACAATTAGGCCATCGTTCTGCAAGACTTGGTCACTTGGATAAAAAGGACGAAAGAAACAACTAACATGCACATTAGTTAGTGTAATCGGAGTTAGGAGCAGGCAATTGGGTGTTAGGATGCCAAAGGAGAGCCTATTGGACCAAACATAATTTTGAGGGTGCTGTGGAAGATTGTGAGGACAACAAAATATCTATTGATGATTGTTAGTGTGTGTTCTTTATACAATACATATATATTCCACCTATCACAGCTAAGTTTATCTCTGTCAGACCTTTCCCCTCCAAATCACTGCTTTCCTCACCCTCTTTCTGCCGTAAGGTTTACTTTGTCTCTTCTTCTTAGCCCTAATCAGCAGGTATCGGTGCATGCAACGCCGGGGACGGATGTCTTGGATTTGATATTCTAATATGTGTCGCTCATACTGAATGATCATCCTTGCCGCTCATATCGGACTTCCATTTTGGCCTTGCTATCAACAGGTTCTTCATTATGGATCTCCACCATTGATACTGCTGAACCATGTCCAATGATAACCCTGATACATAGAGTATGTGCTTCAGTTTACATGCAAAACATCATATAGATGGGGAGAATTGTGAAAAATAGGTGGCAGGGAAATGAAAAAATAAATAAAGCTAGCACTGAAGACCATTATTTTCCACCTATAAAACATAGTACAATGTAACAATGCTAGGCAGTAAAAAAGACAATATCAGAAATATCGATTACCTTCTTGACCCCATCAAAGCGGCGAGACCACGGACACCTTGATGACAACCAATGTGAAGAATTCTCTCAAGCCTGGAGAATATGAATCATCACTAATTACTTTCCGGTTACGTTAATTGTATCGAATGGGAGACAACATTTTGAAAATAAAATTGTGTGACACGAGCATCTCAAGTGATGCGCGTGCTAGCATTAGTTGAAACATGTGCAACGACACATGTTAGGTGTGCCAAGTTTGTGAACGTCCGCAAGGACATACTCCTACAGTGCCGATTACCTGAAATTAGTCAAGCTCCACAAATGAACGATGCCGTTTCTTGTACCTATAATTACAAGTGGAAGTCTGGGATGGGAAACAATAGACACAACTGGAAACATGAAACCTTTTAGTGTCTCAATACACATCTCTTTCCGCAGGTCCCATATCTGGTTGGAACAAACAAACAAGCATGTGTTATTTTTAATGTTATCTGCATAATACATTGCTGCCTGTTTTAGTGAAATAGCAGACCTTGGCAGTCATATCCTCAGAGCCAGTAATCAAATACTGCTGATTATCACGCGTGAAGAAATCTAGGCAGTTCACTTCGTCCAAATGCCCGGACAGAGTATACATAGACCTGGAAGAATCAAGGCTCCAAACCTGAACACCAAACAAACGAGTTTGCAATCAGTTGGTCTAGAAGAAAGCCAATTTTCGGTTAGCATAAGAGACAAGTCCGAACATTTGCTGTGTGATCTCTTGAAGCACTAGCAAAACTGTTGGTGTTCCATGGGTTAAATGCAACCTGTTTTACAGTATGGGAGTGTTCCATAAACGTTCGTCTGCACTCCCAATCCTTGTCCCAGTCCCAAAGCTTTATTTGTGTATCAGATGATGACAGCACATAAGGCTGCGTAGGATGAATGGACATCGATTCAAGAAATCTATCATGAGCACGGAAACTATTGACTTCCTGCACTTCTGTTTCATAGTTGTACACATGGATAAATCCTTCGTGATATGACCCAGCCAGAAACCATTGACGCCGTTCAATAAATTTAACAAGACAACCTACAGTGAGAATGGTCGTCTTATCAGCATATCAGTGTTTTACGCAAGAAACATAGTTATGTTAATAAAACAACCAGAGATTTCATATCATGCCTGATGATCCTGTGACTTTAACCAAAGCAAGAAATTTCTGCCAGTAAATACAAATGAGCCCTTTGTTAGTCCAACAATGCAAACAAAAGCATGGTACATTTGTCTATAAAAATTTAGCTTTTTGTGATGACCCATCAAATGTATCCAGAAGTGGAATATCATCACTAGAAAAGAGATGTATAGTGTGACGGTTTTTCAGGTTGATCAGAAAAGCTTTTAGCATTTTATTATGGCTTACGTGGAACAACAACAAACTTATCTTTTCCTCACAGAAAAATATCAGCAATTACCAGTAACTTTGTATGTTGAGATGTTAATTCGACTGGTACTAACTGCTGAGAAACTACAATAACCTGCCTGTGTGTCATAGTCCCATAAACCAACACGTCCGTCGTAATGACCAGTTATAATCCTGTGAAGAGAACAAATTTAACGCGTCATAATCACATTCAACGTACTCAGTTGAAAGAGGTTTAGCCATTCTAATGCCTATAGGCACTATACACGATACACACTCTATCACTCACCATGGCTCTGTCTGGTTTGCATCCAGGGAACACAATGCTGCATGGGTTTTCTCCACGAATGTCATCTGATCGAACAAACTCTGGTAAAATTATACAATCCAAAGGTTGAAAGATCTATGAAGAGAAAGGAAAACAGACCTTAAGTAAAGGTGGAATTGCCTGTTACATCGTGGATGCATGAAGAAAAAGAGAAACAAAATGAAGCATAAGTGCATATCAACCCGCTTTCCAAGCAACAGTATTTCATGCCACAAAGCAATTGGTCTCTCGAATGAACTCAGCTGAGATCTAAACTGGCCTTTCCAAATTATATTAAACAAAATAAAATAGATCATATATTGTACCGGCCTAAATCTCACTGAATTTAGGTGGTTCTGTTGGCTATTCATTTGCTTACTTTTTTCCGAAAATGGGAATACCCCGGCCTCTGCTTTCTGACAATTTCTTATACGCTAACCATATTGCTCCGCCAACCCTGTCCAAAACCAGGACAGGCGAGGCAAGCAAACATGCCACATGAGCAGGCGGTTCTATTCTTTCAAGTGATTTACATACTAATGTGGTCTGTACTACTTCACATTTATCCTCATCGGGCAACTGCTTACTAGAACCAACTTACCTCACATGCCGTCTTTCCTTCGGGTGCATAAACAACTTTGAGTATCACATTATGCACCATATTCCCCGACTTTGTTGCTTTCTCAAAATATTGGTCACAATCATATTGGTTTCTGAAAGGCTTGAGGCGCTCATCACCAACACTGTTCTGAAGGACAAAATCAACGTCTCTTTCTTCTGGTAGGTTTTCCCTTTTATCCGTTGTCACAACGAGAATGTAGGTGGAGCTCGGGGGGACAATGCCATAGAGTGGTAGACTTAGAAAGAGCCTCCTTTTGTCCATGAGCATGCTCTTCTCCATAAGCTTAAACGGCACATATTCATCTGTGTAGTTTGTTAGGTACAGTGAGCAGGGGATCAACTTGTTGGGTTCGAAGGTGAACCAAAGCTCGGGCGGGTGGATGTCAAGAAGCTTGCTGGAGCCTGCAGGAATTACCTGCAGAGAGAGAACTTACCCGTTTAACATTTGCATAAATTTCCTGAAGAAAGGGTAGCTATTGTTTATGTTCGTTAGGTTGCATGCATGTAACTTAACTAATGAGATTGTACTGCAGATACTCATAGAAAGAGATATTTCGCCAAGCGCACCAGTTTTGGATTGTCTAAAACATCGGTGTTCTAATTACAGTACCATACTAAGCCTCCTTTATGCTTTCATGCATATTGAGTAAGCTCACCTCAGAGACTGTCCCTTCTGACCCTGCGTGTGCAGATAACCGTGGCACATTAGATGCCCCTTGATTTCTCGGATCATTCGTACCCAAAACTGCTACTGGTGCAAGTGATGTATGCTTTGGTACTTCAGATAAGTGTGGGGCTTGTAGCTGTCTGTCAAAAACAACATCCAAACTCACCTCATCAACCAAGTTTCCTGCCTCTTTATCGAACATATATGTAGTTATATCCCCAGCTGCAAGACCATCACTCACTTTAGTGTTCCGAATAATTAACCCGCCAGCATGCCATGGTGCCTTCGTATGTAGTTGCAATGTTATGTCGATACTACACTTGGATCTCGGTGGCACAATGTCTCTGGTTGGATGTACGCAATATGGCAGGGGGGACGTTGTTTGGATATTGAAGGCTATACAACCATCTGTTTCATTGGTTAACTGTAATGAGCATGCCATCTGCTTGTTCAGGTCAAAAGGAAAATGTAGTTCGAGTGGCTCAATTCCAAGCATATCATCCTCCAAGTAAGCACTTATCTGAGAGAAATGAGCAAAATACATTACCATGGACATGTTTAATCCATGCATACCATCTCCTAATTAAGAAGTATTTTGAGTCATGCAAGAATATGTGTTTAAAAGTTTGACAATAATGAGGGGAGCTCCTTCCTATAAAGTTTTCTAGCAGAAGAGATATATATATAGCAGTGTCCATATATATGCTGGTCATGCATGAATGATTAGAATGTACATGGAAATAAATAAGGCAATACAAGTAAGCTAGTGTTCAGTTCAAAGAAACAAAGATGGAAGAAGTAAGCCTGTGGAAACCTGGGAGGAAAAAGAAAGATGAAAGAAGTAGGACAGAAAGGGGAATCCAGCTGGAAAGGAAAGGTCAGCAAACCGCACAAGGCGGGGAGCTCTCCACGTGAGGTGCAAGTTAAGGGATTATAAACATCTTTATTAGTAAGTTAATGTTAGCTTCTTAGAGAGTAAACAAAACAATGCTAGAAACTAATAGGCGGTTGAGGATTCGAGTAAGATATGAAACTCAATTACCTCATCAATTGTAGACCCATTGTTACTGCTGAATTGCTCATTTGCACCTTCCATGTTTGTGAAATCGCATAATATATCACTAATGAAAGGTCGTCTGTAGGGGTCATTTTCCTGGCAGCGCAGCCCTATTTCGATGCATTTAGTTACTTGTTGGTAACCTAATGGCATTTCATTCCCTGATTTTTTCCATCTGTGCCTCCATCTTCTGACTACCTGTCTTTACAAACTTAACTTAGAACAATGGAAGAAAATATTTGACAAAAAATCTAAACGGTGCATGCTTGCCTATTTATCCTATTTCACGGAACCAAAGCCTCCCCCCCCCCCTCGTGTCCAGAATTCCTTCTCGCAGAAATAGATGTATCTAGGCATATTTTAGTTCTAGATACATCCATTTTTACCCATTTATGCGACAAGTAATTCGGGACGGAGGGAGTACAAAACAAGGTTGGACAAGTCTCGGTCTCATTACACTAGTCTAAGCCATGCTGGTGGACCATGCAAGCAAGGGAGGGGTGTCTAAGGGAACATTTCTATCACACTGGTGTCATACTCTACGGGATAGGTGTCCAAAGGAGAGTAAAGAGGAATCGGTGCTACTACAAGCACATGGTACAAGAGAAGAGAGGGAAAAGTTCTCAATTGCCATGCATCCTGCCACCTGTTGGAACCCACTCTTCTGCCAAAAGGAGCTCGACTCGTCTCTTCTTCTAACACCTAGAAAGGAGCTATCCCATATGCTCAAGGCCAGCAATGGGCCGTGTATACAGGTTATTTGAATCAGCCTTAACGTGTAGAGCCAAAGCATGCCATCCGCATGCGTGAGCCACCTGGATTGGAGTTGCACCTCCTTCGACCTACGCAAGACGAGGCCCATGTCGTGGATAGCCTCGCTGCCCTCTCCTCTGCGGCTCCACATCACAGACACATGCTTTGTCAGGATGATGTGGAAGAGAGAGAGAGAGAGAGAGAGAGAGAGAGAGAGAAGAGGGGGAGAAATTTATGACATTAAAATTGTGCATTCAATGAGACCTCTCACGCATCCATGCTCTTGGACCGTTTGATCTCACGCTTTGTTCGTTCTTGGTTGTCAGGTGCAACTTATCTCGTAAACTGGGTAAGATGTCCTAAGAGGTCACTATTCAGCATAGATGCCTTAGTGGAGTATGATTGACTGGGCCTCTCTCCCGTATGAAACCCATGTGCCTATTTCTAGATCCAACTCAAGCATCAAAAGGCCGACAACCAACCCAATCCAAACATGTATCACAATGGACCTGCCCAAAGATTTTTTTTCCTATTACTCACAAATCAATAAATCTTGGATCACTCATGGGCAAGCAGTCTTTTTATTTCAATTGCGAGAGACTGGAACATAAGTCTTCTTAACTCTAATACATATTGAATTGCATGCACTAGCCGATTCATCCAAAAGGTTGAACTCATAGAGAAGGGTGGGGAATATATTTCAACACTCCTCACATCTATGCTCATCTGAGCCTTAGATGTGGGGTTAATTTAGGCTGCAACTATATTTATTAATAGTGTGTTGGTCAAATCTTGAACTTTAGAGGCTCTGATACCATATTAAGTTTCATACAGCAACCAGTAAACCCAGAAGTTTGAACTGGTGAGAAGGTTGGCAATCCACATATACTTCAAAAATTTCTACCATTCTATTGTGTCAACTGACGGGTGTAGCAACACGCCATCATGCTCTAGTAATACTCGTTTTTGGTTGGGACTATTGCAAGGAGACACACTGTAGATACTAGATGATGCCGCGTACGTTGTTGCGGGAATATTTTGCAGTATTTTAGTGAGACTTTGGTTATATGGAACATGAATATTTGAACTAATAGTTTTTTAAAATATATAAGAATTAAATTTAGTACCATGATAGAATGGATTTTACATGCATGCATTTTTAATATGCATAGTTGTATGTTGAGGTGGGCCTTTTCTATGCATGTTGAATGATGAGGTGGCATGCTTGCATGTTGAGAGAAATATGTTAGTGGAGGCTAGCTATTTAGATATAGAAGATTTCGCTAAGCCTGTACCTGACACATGTCAAAATAGAGACTCATACCCCACATTGTGAAGGTAGACACCCCTATATGTGTAATAAATGTCGCACGCGCGGTATGTATCACTGGTGGGGTCGGCCATACAACTTCCTAGGCAAGGGCATGTCAATTCCTTGTTAGGTATCATTCTTAGGCAACCTCGACTTAGAGGCTGCATATAGGAGCCTCACATATATATTTGAATTAATTACCCATCAACCGCATTCTCAATTGCACTGTCCAGACACTAGTAGAAAAGGGGGCAAAGGTCCAGGCCGGGTCAGCCCATTAGTCCCGGTTCAGTCCAGAACCGGGACCCATGGGGGCATTGGACCCGGTTCGTGAGCCCAGGGGGCCGGCCGGGCCACGTGGGCCATTGGTCCCGGTTCGTCTGGACCTTTTGGTCCCGGTTGGTGGGACGAACCGGGACCAATGGGCCTCGCTCCTAGCCCACCACCATTGGTCCCGGTTGGTGGCTTGAACCGGGACCAAAGGCTCCCCTTTAGTCCCGGTTCATGCCACCAACCGGGACCAATGAGGTGCCTATATATACCCCCTCGCGTAAGAGCAAAACACACTGCTCTATTTTTTCTGGCTGCCGAGGGGGAGAGGGCTTGGTGGTGCTCTAGCTCACCTTCTATGCACACAAGGTGTTCGATGGAATGCCCGAGCCACACTACTTAAGCTTTCTCCTCTCCAAGCTCGACCTCCAAGCTCCATTTTCCTTAATATTTGTCTAGGTTTAGCGGTCCGTCACGCCCCGTCCCCGTCTTCACTGCCGTCGATCACCCGCGCTGAGCTCATTGCCGGCACCACCGTGGTGAGCCTCTTGTTCTTATCTTCTTTCTGAAAGGAAAAATATTCTTACTTGTATGTTTAGATAGATACTTGTATTATTTTCTTACTTTTATTATTGCATATTATATAGTGCGATGATTTTGGTATCCGCCCCCGTCGGCCCTTGTCCTGTCTATGATTCGGATGTGGTATATATGATCTTTATAACTATTGGTTCGTTTATTGTTTATGAAAATTATGCCGACCAACGTGACATAGATTTTATTTATCTAGGAGGTATGTGAACCGGAAATTCCAACCGACCCTATTGTCGAGAGGTTAAATTTAGTTGAAGAAGAAAACAATTTCTTGAAGGAAAAAATAAAAGAAAATTGAGGAGAAGATGATATTGGAGTTGCATGTTGCGGATGTCGTCGATGATCACAAGATCAATATGGATGCAATACGCTTGAAGATTAGAAAAATTAGAAAATATGTCATTCATACCGAGGCTTGGTATCATTATGTCGTTGGATCAATTGTTACCTTGGTTGCGATTATGATCGCATTTGTTTTCGCATTGAGATGTTTTACATAGTTTCAATGTATGGTTTAATTAATTAGATGCTCTGGAGAGCTATATGTTGTTAGATGAGAACTATGTATGTACTTTGGTTTTAATGTGATGATGAACTTCTATTAATTTGGTCACTTAATTATCTATTCATGATGTTCTGTAATGGTTTTTGACACACTTAATTATATATAATGCACGCAGATGAACCGGCAATGGATGTACGGTGACAGACACACCTCCGAGTATATTAAGGGTGTGCATGAGTTTCTCGATGCGGCTGAGGCAAACAAGCAGAATGGTTTTATGTGTTGTCCATGCACTAAATGTGGGAATACGATGTCTTACTCTAACCGGAAAATCCTTCACTCCCACCTGCTTTACAAGGGTTTCATGCCACACTATAATGTTTGGACGAGGCACAGAGAAATAGGGGTTATGATGGAAGACGGCGAAGAAGAAGAGTACGATGACAACTATGTGCCCCCTGAATACGGTGATGCTACAGCGGGGGGGAGTTGGTGAAGATCAAGAGGAACCAGACGATCTGCCCAATGATGCTGCAACGGGTGAAGCTGCTGAAGATCCAAAGGAACCAGACGATGTGCCCGATGATGAGATCTCTGCCGGGTCATTGTCGATGCAAGGACTCAATGCGAAAGTCAAAAGGAGAAGGTGAAGTTCGATCGCATGTTAGAGGATCACAAAAAAGGGTTGTACCCCAATTGCGAAGATGGCAACACAAAGCTCGGTACCGTATTGGAATTGCTGCAGTGAAAGGCAGAGAATGCTGTGCCTGACAAAGGATTTGAGAAGCTACTGAAAATATTGAAGAAGAAGCTTCCAAAGGATAAAGAATTGCCCGACAGTACATACGCAACAAAGAAGGTCGTATGCCCTCTAGGATTGGAGGTGGAGAAGATACATGCATGCCCTAATGACTGCATCCTCTACCGCGGTGCATACAAGGATCTGAAGGCATGCCCGGTATGCGGTGCATTGCGGTATAAGATCAGACGAGATAACCCTGGTGATGTTGACGGCGAGCCCCCAGGAAGAGGGTTCCTGCGAAGGTGATGTGGTATGCTCCTACAATACCATGGTTGAAACGTCTGTTCAGAAACGGAGAGCATGCCAAGTTGATGCGGTGGCACAGTGAGGACCGTAAGAAAGACGGGAAGTTGAGAGCACCCGCTGACGGGTCGTAGTGGAGAAAAATCAAGAGAAAGTATTGGGATGAGTTTGCAAAGGACCCAAGGAACGTATGGTTTGCTTTAAGCGTGGATGGCATTAATCCTTTCAGGGAGCAGAGCAGCAATCATAGCACCTGGCCCGTGACTCTATGTATGTACAACCTTCCTCCTTGGATGTGCATGAAGCGGAAGTTCATTATGATGCCAGTTCTCATCCAAGACCCTAAGCAACCCGGCAACGACATTGATGTGTACCTAAGGCCATTAGTTGAAGAACTTTTACAGCTGTGGAATGGAAACGGTGTACGTACGTGGGATGAGCACAGACAGGAGGAATTTAACCTAAAGGCGTTGCTGTTCGTGACCATCAACGATTGGCTCGCTCTCAGTAACCTTTCAGGACAGACAAACAAGAGATACCACGCATGCACGCACTTTTTAAGTGACACTGAAAGTGTATACCTGGACAAATGGAGGAAGAATGTGTACCTGGGCCATCGTCGATTTTTTTCCGACCAACCATCAATGTCGAAAGAAAGGCAAGCATTTCAAAGGCGAGGCGGATCACCGGAAGAAGTCCGCCATGCGTACCGGTGATCACGTTCTTGCTATGGTCAATGATTTACACGTAATCTTTGGAAAGGGTCCCGGTGCACTAGCTGTTCCGAATGACGCTGAGGGACACGCACCCATGTGGAAGAAGAAATCTATATTTTGGGACCTACCCTACTGGAAAGACCTAGAGGTCCGCTCTTCAATCGACGTGATGCACGTGACGAAGAACCTTTGCGTGAACCTGCTAGGCTTCTTGGGCGTGTATGAAAAGACAAAAGATACACCTGAGGCACGGGAGGACCTGCAACGTTTGCAGAAAAAAACGGCATGCTTCCGAAGCAGTATGAAGGTCCTGCCAGCTATGCTCTTACGAAAGAAGAGAAAGAAATCTTCTTTGAATGCCTGCTCAGTATGAAGGTCCCGACTGACTTCTCGTCGAATATAAAGGGAATAATAAATATGCCAGAGAAAAAGTTCCAGAATCTAAAGTCTCATGACTGCCACGTGATTATGACGCAACTGCTTTCGGTTGCATTGAGGGGGCTTTTACCGAAAAACGTCTGATTAGCCATTGTGAAGCTATGTGCATTCCTCAATGCAATCTCTCAAAAGGTGATCGATCCAAAAATCGTACCAAGGCTAAGGAGTGATGTGGCGCAATGTCTTGTCAGTTTCGAGCTGGTGTTCCCCCCATCCTTCTTCAATATCATGACGCACGTCCTAGTTCATCTAGTCGACGAGATTGTCATTCTGGGGCCCGTATTTCTACGCAATATGTTCCTCTTTGAGAGGTTCATGGGAGTCCTAAAGAAATATGTCCGTAACCGCGCTAGGCCAGAAGGAAGCATCTCCATGGGACATCAAACAGAGGATGTCATCGGGTTTTGTGTTGACTTCATTCTTGTCCTTCAGAAGATAGGTATCCCTAAATCGCGGTATGAGGGGAGACTGACTGGAGAAGACACGCTTGGAAGGGACTCAATAATATACAGGGACGGATATTCTTGGTCTCAAGCACACTACGCAGTTCTACAGAACTCTACCTTGGTGACCCCGTATGTCGATGAACACAAGAACAGTTTGCGCTCCAAACACCCGGAGCAGTGCGACGACTGGATTACATGTGAACACATCAGGACTTTCAGCAGTTGGTTGGAAACACGTCTCAGAGGTGACAACACTGTCGGTGATGAGTTGTACTTGTTGTCCAGGGGATCATCTTTGACTGTATTGATTTACAAAGGATACGAGATAAATGGGAATACATTTTACACGATTGACCAAGATCAAAAGAGCACCAACCAAAACAGCGGTGTCCGCTTTGATGCAACAACCAAGAGGGGAAAGGACACATGTTATGGTTATATAGTGGACATATGGGAACTTGACTACGGACATGATTTTAAGGTCCCTTTGTTTAAGTGCAAATGGGTCAATCTATCAGGAGGCGGGGTATAGGTAGACCCACAGTACGGAATGACAATAGTGGATCTGAAAAATCTTGGGTACACTGACAAACCGTTCTTCCTAGCCAATGATGTGGCACAGGTTATCTATGTGAAGGACATGTCTACCAGACCGAGAAAAAAAAGATAAGAAAGCGAATACATCATACGATGAGCCAAAGCGCCACATAGTTCTTTCAGAAAAAAGGGACGTCGCGGGAGTGGAGAGGAAGACAGACATGTCTAAAGATTATGAAAACTTTCATGAAATTCCTCCCTTCAAAGTCAAGGCTGACCCAAGCATCCTGATAAACGATGAAGATTATCCATGGTTATGGCGCAATAAGCAAATGACACAAGCGAAGAAAAAGTGAAGACTTTCTCCCGCAACTATTATGATGATACCATGCCAACTTTGTAACAGACGAGTATGATACCATTGTCCGTTTTGTACCTGCACATGCTATGTGGGTAAAATTATGATACCATGCCAACTTTCAACTTTTTCAGAGTTCATTGGTCCCGGTTCGTCTGGACCTTTTGGTCCCGGTTCTACGCACGAACCGG